GCCGGTGGGGCGCGGGGCGGCGGGCTTCCTGCCCTGCGGACCCTGTGGCTTGTTACCGGTCGCTGGGAATAAACGCGTGTTGAGATGGTGGACTCTGCATTTCGGTATACAACAGGGCTCTGGTGTTTCAACCCTTCGCACTGGAAGGGAGCTAAGCTTTTCTCACTCGATAGTTAATTACTCAAAAAATGTTCATGTGTGTATATTTTTCCCAGCTCAGTTTCCATACTGCTGACCTTCCAGGTTCTCCAGAGTTAACCGTGGCTGCTCAGCGTGGATAAACCCCGAGCTGCTGCTGCCCAGGCTGGGCTCTGCTGGCCGGCCAGCCCTGGGCCCAGCTGCTCTCGGGGTCTCTCGGGGGTGGGTGCTCCCTGTGGTCAAATACGAGATGTGCAGATGGTAAAGGATGGCTGTGGAAGAGTGCAGGGATGGCTGGGGTGGTAGGAAGAGACGCTGGAGGGCATAAAGGTTTAGCTAGTTTCAGTTCTAATCACAGAATCATAGAATAGTTAGGGCTGGAAGGGACCTTGAGGATCATCCAGTGCCAACCCCCTGCCATGGGCAGGGACACTTTCCGCTAGCCCAGGTTGCTCAGAGCCCGTCCAACCTGGCCTTGAACCCTGCCAGGGAGGAAGCAGAAGGGATCGCAACTCATGGGCTAAAGAAGAGCAATGGAAAGAGATTTTTTGCCTTTTATAAAGGCAAAAGGATTAGAAGCCGAGGAAAAAGGTAAAAAGAGGGCACAATGCATGCACAGTAAGATAAATTACCTATGGAAAAAAAATGAAGTGATGCTAAGAAGTGAATTTAAAACAGCAGCAGGTAACTCCACCCTGGTTGTACAGTGCCCTGGTCTAAGCACAAAGCTGAGCAATCACATGATTCTGAACTAGCCCAGTCCAATGAAACCACTGGGACTGTAAGTGCTGCAAGTGGATTCAGCTGTGGTTCATGTTGTGCAAATATATAAGGTAAAGGTACGTAAACATCATAAACTGGGGGGGGTGGACTCTGCAGAAATTTGTGTTGCTTTTACTGAAGCAATTAAATGCATGGAGGTTCTTCTGCAGATCAGCTGGCAAAGAGGCTGTGAGCAGACGTCTTTTGTATTATTTCAAATGCAGTTAATTTCTCATATAAAGCAAATTGAACATGCACTGATTGGCCAAATATGTGGCATCAGTGACAAGCATGTTGGTCTGATAATCTCTCCTACCACATAGCTGAGTGTAGTAAAATACCTGACCATGACCACATTAAAGGGAAGAATGAGCAAAGAAGCTACACTGAATGCAGTAATGCAAAAAACATTGCAGTGGTGTGGGAAGACAGAGAACGTGAAGGTGTTTATTTCTACCTGGTATAAAAGTTTAAGCCAGGTCTGTGCTAGCAACTTCAGCTCATCATAATTATCAGCTGAAGTTGATGTGTATATATTTATATTTGTGTATATATATATCTGTATATGTATGTATATATTTTGTATATATATGAAAATGATTAGCAAAGGTGCCACAAACTGCCTTTATATTAGGATGTTTTGCTAGTGTATTAACAAATCTCTCTTAATGTACACCTTTGTAAGTGGTAAGTGTTGACATACTTTAAAGCCACATCTGTCATTACACAGAAAGTGAATGACTAATGTGAGAAAAGAGAAGAGAAAGTAAAGCCAGAGGAGCTAGTCAATACAAAGAGAAGTTATTAAGGATACTGGGGATGACTAATAAGGGGTGAAAAACAGTATTTAAAGAGGAAAAATACGATTACTTCCGTTTGCAAGTACTACATTTGTGGTCAGTCAGTATAATTTTGCATTCACAGAAGCAGTAGGAACTTTGTCCCCCAGAGTGGTTTCACGACCAGTGGTGTTTAGAAAAGGCTGGTGGCTGTGCTGGCTGAGTTTCAGGTGATGCATCTCCAGGTCACATTATTCAGTGTGTGGCAAGAAGAAACCGGGAGGAGAGGAACCTGTACTTGTCTTCCTGGGAACTGCCAGCTGTGCTTCTCCTAGACTTTGTCTTGCATTTAGTTTAATCAAAGCTGGTTAAGAGATGTGAGAAACATTTTACATTTAATTTGGTGTGTTGGAGCTGCCTCCTGGAGGAGAGTTTGGTAACATCCCCCGGTTTTGCAGTCCTTGGAGGTGTTCTGCAGGAGTGGCAGACCATGCTAGTGCTGATTACATGACCTGCTTTGTTACCGAGCCGTGTGCTTGTTGTCTTTGTGCTGACTTACTGCCGGGAGTTTGTCCTGATCATCCAGAGAGATCACTTGGCAGTAGACAGAGTTGGCTGTTTACTCACCCAGTACTGACTATATTGTTTAATCATCTGAATGCTTCAAGCACTTGCTGTTTGCCAGATTAGTTAGCACAAAATGGACTAGTCTAGCTGGGGTATTTATTCACAGCTCCAGGGGCTAGTCTAGTGACATTGATAGCATGCCAAAGTTAGAATTCAGTGAATTTTCATTTCTAGTAGTTAGTTTCTTCTCTTGCCGTCACTAGGCAGGTCTGCAAACAGCATGCCAAACTCTTAGTTTAAGTGATTTTGCACTTCTGATGTGTGTTAGAGCATGTAAGTTTACCATGACCTTTCTCTGGGTTTTTATTAAACTTTTCCAAGAATAACGTTGGCAGAGTATCTACGAGTACCTAAGGATCACGATCTTGCAGTATTTCAGTGTGAACTTCCTGACAAACGTTTCATTGCAGTAAGGAAAGGTGCTTGTTGCAAAAATGCTTACGTTGCAAGGTTAATGATACTTTAAATGATAAAGGGAGCATGAAGGGGTAAGAGGGGACTAGAGGAGGGAGAGACATTTATTTCTGGTCAATTTGTGTTGCTCTGCTAGTTCTCAGAGGTTTATTACCGGGCTGAAGTATTAGTGTTTGTTCATAATTAAAGCCAGGGTTATTTTACTGTCTGTAGGTGTTAAAAAAAAATGCTTCGGGAGGGCTGTGGTTGCTTTGTGTAATGGGACGACCTTAAACTAATGAAAGGAACTTTTATTGCTTTATTTTTCTTCTGGGCCTCAAGATTCTTAAGGTCTGAGTATTACTGCTCTTGTACTATAGCTCTGAGGGGGAGTATTTATTATACTGTAGCATGCTCAGTATGCACGGGCCCTTCAGTTAAACTTTACAAAGCTCCTGCTCAAGGCAGCTTGGGTTTTAGGTTGAAAAGAGAGGTAGGAGAGGAAAGCTGTAGAACAGGAGAGGAGGACATTAGTTTTCTCTATTATGGGAGCTCCGACATCTTATTTACCTGTGAAAAAAACAGCCTAAAATGTTACCTGTTCTCTCTCCAAAATTTGTTTCCAACCTGTGGGTTGTGGATTAATGCTAAAGGATCGGAGGAAAGTAACCAGGGGAGACAACCCTGTTTTCAGGCATCTTAAATTCTGTAAGGCTGCTGGAAAGTTTTTAGTCAACAGGTTGAGAAATGTTAAAATAATGGATTTGTGAATTCATTGGAGGTTTTTTCCCAATAACATCTCTCTGCCTCTGCAAGTAAGTCCCAGTGACCCTGGTGTTGAGCTTGGGAGTATCAAAAAGCACTTCTGTAATGCACTCTCCTACCTTTCTGTCCTATCTTGCACTGCTGTGGACAGCTGAGAAATAGTCGAAACTGATTTCTTTGCCATGGTGTAGGAGGAGCTGATGTCTGCATGTCACCTTCAGTTGGTGAGTACCCTTTATTTTTCCCTCCCTTGCATCTTGCAAGCATGGATTAGACTATCTATTTCCCTGCTTATGAGCCAGCCAGGGCTAAAGCATTGCAGATAGAGCAGTTGGCTACATCCAGGAGATGCATTCTATTGCTCCTTCAACTAACCTTTGTTTTCCTGTGATAAATTTTGATGTCTTGTAGATTAAACCATATCTTGTCTGTTTTGCTGAGGACATTTTTAGCAGTGGGCGGATTTGAGACAATATGACCCCGTATTTCTGGAAGAAAACAGAAAGGGAATGTAGAAAGGTGGACAGAGTTAAAAATTTAAGAATTACGCACAGAAGAAAAGGGAATCTGTTCAGCTGCTTAACTGTTTTATTTGTAATAGCTAGAAGAGGTTTGGGACTTGAACCCTTTTCATTGTTGGGGGTTTTTTTGAGACTGGGAAAGCTCCATCATTCTCCTAGGAATGTACAGCAGTCATTGTTACAGTAAGCTGAGAAGCACCAGTCTGTTTACTTTGTAGTTATGGACATGTAACCGTTACACAAGTTAATAAACACGTGTGATGAGAGATTAGATACATATATGTGTCTAACTAGTCATTTAAGTATACGTTTGATCAGGAAATGCAAAGGCTGCTGGTTCAGTAATTCTAGAGCAGTACTGAAGAAGATACTGAGCTGTGGGAGCACCTTCCATCTGAAGGACAGATACCTCTTCCACTGTAAAAGCCAGCTGTGAAGTCATTATCGTCTCTGAAGACCTTAGAGTCAGTTTTCCAATGGTTTCCTCCAGTGTGGGTTTTCTGGTTGGTTTGTTTATTTTGTCTGGGGAGCCCACAGCTCTAACAAAACCACAGTTTTCATTACTAGGAATTTGATATAACAGTTCTCAAGATAAACACTGTAGCTGAGTTGAATGCTGTTACTTCTTCCATTTCACTCCCAGTTTATGCTTTCATCTTTCTGGTGGTTCTAATGTGTTGAGTAATCTTCATCTGTAGTGCTTTATGAGCTGTTATCTGCTTCTGTCAGATCAGGAATGATGCAGAATCTAAACAGTTTGCAACTCGAGCTGATGCCTAGGGAGGCTAGAGGCCAATGCAGCTGTCATCTTAGTACTTACAAGTGTAACTGCCAGGAGCGTAGCAAGAAAAGCTACTTACAGTCAAGGCTGTATGGATATGAAAGTCAGTAACACTGACTTTTCTCAGTATACTTTTCCGCACAGATTTCTTTGTAAGTTATGCCTGTGCTTATAAGAAATCTAAGCTATACTTGTGCAAACTTCTCTATAATGAGAATGGTAGTGGTAATTAAGTCTGAGAATCTAAGACTAAATTAATTTACACAAGGGGGAACTATGATGGCTTTGAATTTGGACCTATATAAGGCTGAATGCTTATGTCTAGTAACACTTTTCCTGCCCCCCCCATTGGATCCCAGTTAATGCTGTGTATTTACAGAAGCCATGAATCCTGTTTTATGATATATCAAAAAGTACTTGAGATATTACTAGTTTTACAAAGCAGGCACTCTTTAAGGTTTGAGTGGTTTTTTCTTTTTGATGCTTTGAAGTTGAATCTTTGAGGCTTTGAAAATGCCCTTGGCATGAAGAACTCATATATATATCTCATAGGAGAAAATATCTGATCTTATTAGAGGCTTGGTTGAGTTCTGCAACCTATGCAGCAGCCTCCATATAATATTTAGAGATGTGGAAAATAATAACATGCTTCCTGTGGAAAGTGTTTGTCTTGCCACCCCCAACATGGGAAGCAACCGGGAAACTTCACCTAAGTCTGCACCAAAATTGCACATTCAGACGAGGCAATAACGCTCCTTTGTGAAAGAACTACCCTTGTGCATAGCCATTAATATGTACTGCCCAGTGCTACCTTCTGAAACGTGCATCCGAAAGTCCAGTGGCTTCTTAAAGGCACTGACTTAAACCAATTGAACTGACACAGCTTTTGTCTCAGCGCTGGTTACCATGGCCGTTATCCCATGGTTTGCTTTACGAGTGCGCAGTTCTCTTTGTCCCTCGGCTCTTTGGCTGGTGCTGGGTCTGGGGCTCAGCCTCTGGTCTGGATCACTCGCTTGGAGTCTGACACAGCCCCATGGAGTGGAAGTGCAGGGCAGAAGGATGACGACAGTTGTGGGAAGCAGACGGTTGTTTTCTCATCTGCCATCAGTGCTGGGCCTTGAGTAGCTTTGTACAGGCCGCATAATCGTTTGTGTTCCTCTTTTTTTTTTTCTTCTTTTCTTTCTTTTCATATGCTTGTGATGTACACAACAGCTGGAGGGGACTGACTTTCAGACTGTGGTTCAGTTGGCATTTCATTGTATTCATATCTGGAGGCATTATCCAAAGGTACTTTTGAAGCCTCTTTCAATTTGGTTTTTTTTTCCAGAGCACAGAAACTGAACCCCATGAATAATGCAGCTGATATTAGAAAGAAACTGGAGTTGTAGAAGACATAGTGGAAATCACTAGTTATGTCTACCAGCAGACCTGAAAGAGAAGCCATAGCTTAGTCAAAGAGAAGATGCATACTAAAGGTAACTGGGTGACATTTAAATAAATGTTAAACCTAAATCAGTCAGCATACTGCCATATACAAAAGATAAGCTCTCGAGATTCTAGGGGTTTTTTGGGTTTTTTTGTGGTCACCACTTAGATGATGTTTCTGCTTCTGTATCAAGTATTTCTCAATACACAGAGAAATCAGGAAAGAAAGAAAATTTTAAGTGAATAATTTAACACTAATGTTAGAAGTGGAAAGGTGATACTCAGGTCAAATATATGATGGCTTCTATAGGCTGCTTATTTATATGGAAATATTGGAATAATGTTTATTTCCTTGTGTTCTTCAGTAGAGATTGGTGATGTTTCTTTTCATGATACACTTTTCTTTAGTAGATTTTAGGACTACAAATAGAAATGCTACTGCTTTTACTGTACTTTGTTTTGCCCATCTGCCACTCCTATCAGACATGTCCAAGAAAAGGCCTTTTTTGACATTTGAGAAAAGTGACTGACACAGTAATGCCAGGGAATACCATGAAATATGGTGCAGGGTATCATCCCATTCTCAGAACAGACATTTTCCTGCTGAATAGCACACAATTCATTGTCTGGAGAAGAGAACTAAAGCCTGAATTGAGGATTCATGCTCAGGTTCACATTTCTTGTTTGTTAGTCTTTTGGATTTGCTGCTGTACTGCAGGAGCAGGTGCATCTTGGACAGGTCTCTTAGTGGCATTTGGAGTGAACTGTGAAATCAGTGAATAATTTATTGGATTTGGGGTCATAACTAGCTCGTTTCTTGACTCCAGAGAAAAATTAATACACTCCAGAACAGCAGCTTTCACTATAAGGCTCTTGAATAATGTAGGACTGGTAATAATTCTGATCGCAGTTAGTTTGTTTAATGGGATGTTCACAGTGCCTTGAGACTTCATAGATAAAACAATGTAAACTGGGAAAGCAGCGGAAGAGTTCACAGACAGCCAGATCCTTCCACAGTAATTCCTCTCTATGTCTTGCCACTCACTGGAAAAAAGCTCTCACCTAGTAGAACTGCCTGCCAAGTGGGTAACTTTTTCACTGTCTGCTGTTGCTGCAGTGACACTTGGGCAGCTGCAGAAATGACCCACCTTCAGCTGCAAGAAGGGGCTGAACGTTCCTTTCCGACTCTCCCTTTGATATTGCTCCCTTTGCATAACTCACCTGCCTACGTGGGTTTGGAAACTCCCTAATTTCTCTTCTTTATGCTCCCGAACACTTGTCACCAGTGCTGAACAACCAATTTTTCCCCAGCCTGCTTTAACAGCCTCTCACCTGTGAGAGGGGGCCCGATGAGGAGGGTGATACTCTCCAGGATCGTGAAGAGCCCTAGAGCACTCGAGAACCTGTCCATCTCCACCACGTCCATCAGCACCTGGAAGGTGAGTGCCCCGATGCCACTCATGGCTATACTGAGGATGACGCAGTAGACGATGAGCACACTGAACTCGGCTGAAGTGACACAAATGAAATTGCTCAGCCCGCAGAGGAGCACAGCCAGGCTGAACAGGTAGATGCGTCTCCCTGTGAAGACTCTGTGTCCTGAGAGGAGCCCTGTCAAAGGGCGTATGAAGATGTTGATGAACCCGATAATGGAGATGAGGAGGGCTGCCCTGCGTTCCTCCACCCCATTCTGGATGGCATAAGGCACAAGGTAGACATGGGGTAATGCAAACCCCATCATCATCCAGGTCACTCCAATAGTGTAAATCTGGTAACCTTTGTTTTGACAGAAGATGTCAAAAGCCAGGTACTTCTGCAGCATCTGGAAGCATGCAGTCCTTCTGGTTTGCTGCTGGAGCTTGGGGTGGGGAGAAGATGCTCCATTGGACAGCTGTGCCTCTTCTGCTCTTCTCCCTGGCTCCTCTCCAAGCTTGGGTGACTGTAGTGGTGACCCTGATGCAAGCTGAACTGGTCTCATGATGGCTCCACAAACACAACAGTTCAATAGTATTCCTCCAAAGATAAGAAAAGTGTTTCTCCAGCCCATCTCATCCAGCAAGTATTGAGAAAGCAGCGGCCACAGCGTGAAACCAAGAGAGACACCGGTGGATGCCATGGCATTGGCCAGCGTTCGCCACCGTACAAAGTAGTAGCCCAGCGCAGTCACTCCTGCCTGGAAGCTGAAGCATGATCCCAGACCTAAAGGTAAGATATAAAAGAGAACGTGACAGTGTGTGGTCCCTCTGTGTTGTCTTGAAGGGTGAAAAGAACCCAAACTCACGGTGTACACACAGCTGACTTCATCTGCCACTGAACCATTTCCTCACCTGCCAGGCTGCACAACCCCCAGTGATAAATACTCAGAAACCCCACACAAGGGATGAAGAAGGATGTTGTGTGTAAACTACTTGTGTTCTTGGGTATGCTAAATATACCGATCTAAGCTGACATTTGTCTGGGGCACACTGCCATTCCTAAAATTGTTATGGAATTGTTCATTAAAAACTTGGGTTTTATACTGCCTGCAACAAGCAGTGCTGTTTTCCTGACACTTCCATCAGGGCTCAGGGAGTTACTTGTTTTTCTCTCTATGCAGTGGATACAGCTTAGCTTACAAGATCCAACAGGTTTGGTCCCAAAGTAACCTGGCTGAAGAAATTAATTTCTCTGTGTTAGAAAAAGCTGATTTGAACATCAGTCACATAGGAGAAATATTTGGAAAGGAAAAGTTCCCGTCTGTTACTTCTGTTCAAAACCAACACGTTCTTTTGTTAGAAAAAAGATATCTCCACATTTCCCCAGATTGGGAGTGGTGAAATACAAGCCCAGGGAATTTGGGAAGGACATTGTCCCAACAAATTATGTTCCAAGATTGGAAAAAACCCTCCCTTCTTCAAAGACAAAAGGCTGAAAAGTTACTAAAAAGAACAGACATCGTTGCTCTCCATTTTGCCCTCTGGAGACCTGTAGCTTTTTCCAGAGAAGCACTTTCCAGTGAGCTTGGCTGGATGAGGTATGTGTTAAAGGGGTGTGAAGGGTAAGTCTAGCTGCTATGCGATTCCTGCTGTGCTGTGGGGCTTTTGATTTATCCTATGTCACAGATGAATGGAAAATGTGAGCACTTAGTCGGGACTCACCATTTCCCGTCTCTCAAGTCAAGCACAGCAGCTGGGTTTTCCTGCTGTTCTTTGGTACTTACCAGTAATGAGGCCAGCTGTTAAGTAGAGCTGGCTGATGGACTTGCAGAAGGAGCTGGACACCATGCCCACTCCACTGAGCAGGCCTCCCAGCATCACAGCAAACCTGCAGCCAAATCGCTTCACCAAGATGCTGCAGAGGGGCCCTGGAAGCAAAGAAACAAAAGGGAGGCAGTTAGAGAGGTAAAAAATAATTTGGAACTGCTGAACTGCTGCAATTATCAAATGGTTCAGACTAGAGACCCCGAGCATTATCCCAGCAGCATAATACAGTAGGGGAGCCAGGAAGAGAAAATATATCCCCTGATCCTCCCAAGTGCATGTTCAACTTGTTAGCTGAGGGGAAGGCTCATGTGATCTGCTTGGATTTTGGCCATCGAGTGGGATTTCTAAGCTTCCCTGTGATGGATTTCAGTTAAAACTCTTGGAAATGGAATGGAAGAAGCACCTTCAAGTATAATTTCATTTTCACATGATATAAATTCTGGGAATGATTTAAAAAAGGAGAGGACTTAGATTTCTGTGACTCCGAGTAAGAGATGCTAAGCAGGGTGATACTTCTGTTTGCATATTTCCACTCTCATTTCACTGTTTTTCAGATGTTCTGCTATAAAATCTCCTAAATTGCCCTTGGTGTCCTGCTACCTTGGTGGAACTCCATGCAAGAGAAGGCAGATTGACTCTGAACTAGATCAAGAATGGAAGAAAAGCAGACATCGTTGAGGAGGATTAATTGAAAACTACTGGAGAAGTATATTCATGTCTGCATGGGAATCAATTTAAACTTTAGGCAGTAGCATCCAAGCTGCAGCTTGTGGAGTCTTGCATCTGTCCTGCAAGTCATCTTCCCCAGGAAAATCACATGTTATTGTCAGCACAGCTCTTTGCACATGCCTGTCCTGGCATACCCGGGCAGGGGTGGGTAGGTTTAACCGTGTCCACTTCCAAGAGGACAGAAGCCTGGGAGCAGACTGTGCACATCCTGGCTCCCACTCCTACTCCGGCACAAACACCTCAGAGGAAGGAGCGAGACCCAGGTGGTTCTGATGGGTCAGAGCCCGCCTCTGCCCTTCTTGGGCAGAAACTTGCATTTTATTGTGTACCTACATTGCTGGCAGGCTTTACTAGGAAGGAGTTCTCTTACTTCATCAGAAAAAGCAATGAACAAATAGGCGTGGAGGTGTGTGTTTAAGGTCAGTTAATTTTTAAAATTTCATAGACTTTTGATGAATTCCATGAGATTGTGGTAAATTACCAGTTTGTTAATGTCATTTAGCACCCTTCATCTTGGGGTAGGAAAAGATTAGTCAGACCTGCCGACCATCAGTAGGAAATATGCTTCTCTGCATGATTTGGCAGAAGAGGATCTGCAGGTAGTTTCTTTTCCTGTTCCTTTGAGGATCCTCAAAGTTTTCAAGGTTTTATTATTTTTTTTTCCCTCTTCTGAACACTTACTGTCATACAAGCAAATGCAAAATGACTATAAGCTCCAGAATTAGGAGTCCATCAGTGTAGAGAAAATAACCTGTAGCATATTTGTGACCTAAATCAACATCTGGTTTGAAATAAAATCCACGTAGTCAAGTGAACAGTGGAACATTATTAAAATTAGGAGTGCAGCTGTCTGTATTTTGATCTGCTTGGGAGATTTTCACCTCAGACTTCAAATGGCCTTTGCAAAAGTGTTCAGCTAACTGGTGACTGGATTATTTTTCCTCCTGCTGATGACATTAAGGATGGTGCTGCTGTTTAACCAACCCAAGCAGCCAGAAGTCAGAAATTGAACACTCCAAAATAATGAGATTGTCTCTAAAAATCATAAGGGTTTTTCATTATTTGTTCCTGTTAACTTGCTTTCTAGGTTTCAAACATTATTTCTCACTTGCCTGGGGCTTTTGTGCTTTCCTTCACAAAAATCAACAAAAGTGCTGCATTTGTATGAGTGCAAGTCCAGAGAGTTACATGCGCATGAATATGTGAAAGCAGGACCCTGTAAGGCTCTGAACTCCCCTTTTGGAGCCAGCCATAGAATCCTGAGGTGTCTCAAATGATCCTTTTAATAAAATAGTCGTTAATAGCTTTTACCTGGGAACATAGCATGAGTAATAAGATATGTTTGGCTTAACTAAGTTGTGAGCTATTGTTTTCACTGTGCCCTTCCCTGTTCCTTTCCATAGCTCTGCTGAGCTGAGGTCAGCAATCCTGCATGGGACCTTCTCACTGCACTTGACCGCTCAGAATGGGCTGCTCTGTCCGTTCCCTTCCTGTTTTGTTTTTTTTTTTTTTTCAACAAATAATTTTTTTCCCCCTTCAATTCCTTTGAATTAAGAAGAAAAAATAGAAGCACCTTTAAGAGACGCTGGTGACATAGCAGAATGCAATTTTGGACAAGGTTTAAGTGCCAAGATGATGAAACTGGAGAACTTTAATCAAACGGAGCCCAGCCCACCACAGAGGAGGTCAGAAGTCGCAGCAAAAGCCGTATGTGATTGGCGGGAGACAGTCTTTTATCTCTGTTTTTTTGATGTTTTTTCTTCCTGGTTTACAGTTGTGTTACTCCTGCCTTATGCTATTGGGGGAAAAGGACAAACACTCTTCTACTGTAACGACCAGCAATAGGAGACATTAACTGGCAAGCAAAGTAACAGCTCTCTTGTAATTCACTGGCTATGCCCTGACAGATTCTGTTAGTGAGTATAATTAACATGAGGCTATTCTTTCCTTGTCTAATTTGTAACTTTTGGATCTGTTTATTGATTGTCCTTTATGTTACCTTTTACTGTGGTTCCAGCCTCCTACCAAACAATTACTTCATTAAAGAAGATAGGATAGTTGATACTTTATTGCAGATACTGCCAGACTTGTCCTTCCTGGACATGTTGGGACTGAGCTGCTTCTGTGACCATTTCCCAGAGCCAGCAGGTCCCATTTGGCTCCTTCCCACTAACTGCAGCAGGGCCACAGGGGATGGTAGGCAGCACTGGGAATGCCCAGCAGTTTCCAGATCCCAAGCCCCAAGGACACTGCTCTATTTCTGCTGATCTTCAGTGATAATTACTCCCCTCGTCGCTTTCCCTGAAGTCTCTTTCCATCCTCACCTTGCAATTCTGGACCCAACTGCTTCTGCGAAGGTGCAAACTCTCGCTCCCATGTCAGGTGGCTGTCAGCCAGGTCCTACACAGGAGAGACTGAACCTGCCACAGCCTTCACGTTAGCATGACTCAGGGCTCTGCTTTTTTTTTTTTTTTTTTTTTTTTGTCACCTTTCACCAGTATAGGAAGTGGGCAGGTATGAACTCAGGGAGCAGCTCAGATACGTGGATACCACTGGATATTTTGCTTCTTTTGCCTAGGTGGGGTTTGGGGAGCCTATTTATCAGATAAGCATGGAGGGGTCAGCAGTGACACAAACTGCTCATTGGGAAGTCCTCAAGCTACTGTGGATTTGTTTTTCTCTTCTATGCAGAAATACCCATCTGGGGACCCTGTCCTGTGCAGCTCCCACATTTTCTTTGGGGGGAAAAAAGAGTGATTCACTCCACTATCTGCAAAGCACAGCCCTCCTTCCATTCCTCTTCACCTGGAGGGTGCTGCCTGACCCACATTCTGCATTAATCCAGCCATGCTCACATCCACCCTGATGCCTGCTTAGGTGTGCATTTTATGCCACCACCCAAAGAGTTGCTTTTAATACTCTGCCTCAACTAGCAGCCTGGAGGAGCTTTACTTTTGGCATCTTTTCAGCCATGAAGAACACAGTTGTCATGTGGCACATAGGAGATGTGCTCTCGTGGACAGAAGATGAATCAAGAAAGCACCCAAGTTCCAGTGCTACCTGATGGCTTATTCAAAGAGCTGCTATGGGAAATAATCAAGTTCTTGCTGGTCTGGAGAAGCTGGACTGAGAAAGGGATTCACCTCCTTTGACCAAGGGTCTTGGTTGTCTCTTAGGGTGACAAAAGGGAGCTTGGTATCTGTGGACACTTACCTTTGGACTGTGTGATCAAAGGGGCTGGGAGATTCTGTGCACTGCCAACCAGCCAGTCTGCTCAGACTTCCCAGTCCCTTCCACCATCCGCCTTAATGAAATGTTAAAAGTGCCCTCGTTGCAGCCCCTCATCAGCCACACAGCCGCAGGAGGTGGTGGAGGGCTTCCCTGCAGCCATTACTTACCGCCTCCATGCAGCACGGCCACCATGATGGATGGGAACCATGACGTCTCGCTATTGCTGGCCTGGAACTCGTGCTGGAGGTCCTTGAAGAAGACACCGATGCAGGAGGGGAAGCCCAGTGTCAGCCCCTGCAGCAGCACTGCGGCGAGCAGGACCATCCATGCCCATCCCCGGTCCTGGGGCTTGGCAGCTTTGCATGCTGCTGCTCCTCCTTGGGACATGATGGCTTCTTTCTCCTCCTAAGCAAGGCTGCTGAGGAAGGGAGTGCAGCTACCATGCAACCCTCAGCCCAGCAAACAGACCTACAGAGAAGAGCTGATGGTATTCCCAAGGCTCAGAGCCACCAGTGTGTCCCACACCTTTTGCAGCTGACACTCTAGACTTCTTGCTCTGCATTTCTTCAAGCACCTCCCTTCCTTCTCACTACAGGATCCTGGCAGCAGATTGCTTGAGAAACAACTGCCTTCCCCTTTTATATTTCACAAGACTGTGACCACAGGCAGGTACAGAATAGGACCACACCTCCTCTGAGGTATGAATTGGCCTTACCTAGTTCCCGCCCTTATTTTCCCTTTCACCTGCTTTCATCATACGGAGTCCCCTTGCTGGCAATTGCTAAGGTCACTTAGCCCTCGGTCTGAGAAGAGAAGGAAAAACTCTCCAAATGCCAAGAAAAATAGAAACGTGTAAAGCTTGCATGTCGCAGCAGAGCTCAGTGTGAACCTTGCATGAAAGCTGCACCTACCTACAAAGTGCTAGTGGTGAAAAAACATTTTTAAAGCCGTTAATTAGTTATGATCCAGGGATTGCAGATAGGCTTTTGCTCTACCTCTGTTTAGATCTAGAGCTTCTTCTAAGAGATCCCAGTTTTGATTTCTTTGGACTGGCAGCACCAAACATAGAGCAATAGCATTCCTCATCCTCTACACGTGAATAAACACTCATTAAAAAATATCTTTGGCAGCTGAATGAGCTCCGAAAAAGTGCCCATAAGGTCACCGCACAGTGCAATATTTGTTTAACACTCAAATACTGCTAAAACCGTAAATAGTCCCTAAAACCAATAGTCCCCAAAACAATACCTACATTTGAGTTTTGTGTACAGCTTTAAAATTGAATATTAGTTTGATCTCACTCACTATTTAAAATTTGCCATGGCGGCACACTCAGAAAGTTACTTTCATACCTCAGGCTGAGACTGGAATTGGTCAAACGCAGGGTAGCGGGCGCGTGGCTGCATGCGCGGCGCGGGTGGCTCGTCCCCTGTGTGCGCAGCCCAGTCAGCTCATGGCCCACGGTTAGATGCTTCTGCTTCAGTAGCGACTAAAAGCTTTGATGGAGTCTTTTGCAATATTAACCTAGGCATCACTTCTGTAAACAGGGCTCTTATGGTGGCTGGCTCACAGCCAAAAAAAAAAAAAAAAAAAAAAGGCCAGGAGCAGAGGGGGCCCGTGGGAAGGGGCTCTGAGATGCAAATCACGGTGGTGGTGCTCAGCACACTTTAATCCTTTGTCCACTTTAGCTGGGTGCAGATAATGCAACTAATTCAAGTGCTTGTCTCTCTGGTGTGAATTAGCTGGATGACAGCCTAAAACCTCTCCCCGGCAACAGCAAACCTGCAAAAAAAGGCAGAAGCACAGCTCCTCTCTGTTCCTAGCTGCCCTGTCCAACTCTTGAGTTTGTCCAGCAGATTTCTGGCTCCACGCACAGCTGTCTGCGCGCCTGCTCCCTGGGGAGGACTCTGCAGTGGGGCTGCAGACCCATGGCTCCTGTCCACCTCCTGCCCCTGGCTCAGGACACCTTTTCCCCAGGCAGCCCGACTTGCACAGTCGCTGCAAGGACCCTGGAGATGCGCTGCCAAGCACTGCGTGGCCTCCTCGTTGCCTTCTGCCTGCATAAAGGTAAAGGAACAAGTTTGTTCCAGCGCTGGCTTAGCTGGCTGTGCCACACCGAGCAACAGCAGCACCATAAAACCTTGGTTTAACACTTCCCAGGGTACCCAGATAGGATGGAAGGTGCAAACGTGGAGGGCTAGTGTGTGTTTTCGTGCTCCTATGGGCTTGATGTTCTCAGGCAACCTGCTACTGGTGTAGGCGATGAATGTGAAAGAGCAGGGACATCTGTGAAACACAGGCAGATTTTCACGTGCACATGATCATTTGTGCTAATAGCATTGGGAACAGGATTGAAGTTCACAGCAGTAGCCACACCTGGGTGCCTACTGCAAACAGTGTGCTTTTGTTGGGAGCAGATGAACTGGTGCAAAGGTGCTTCCAGCCCGTGCAGTGACTGGGGATGCACAGGTGCCCTGCATGGGACAAGGAGGAGCACAGTGCCCGTTTCAATCTTTCTTTCTGGCCACTCTCTGCCAGTCACTGACTGCCCCAGTGAACTGATTCTCATTCAGATCTGAATGTTTCTTCTTCCTCCAGTGACTCCCAAGACACCAGTATTCAAGGCTTCTTGGATTTTCCTATCTGTGATGGAGTAGCCCTAGTAGTAGTTGTTTCTGGCAGCAGATCAGGAGTGCTCACACAGTGATTCTCCCTTCTTTGTCTATACCTCAGTTTCCCTCAGCTGTGATGGGGCACAGACAGCTGCTGGGATAAGAGCACCTGGCAGGATTGCTGGCTGCTCCCTGCAAGGGCAGGCAGCCCTTTATGCTGAGAAACACAGGGGCCTGGGGTATTTGTGTACCTCACAGCCTAGGAAGGGGTTTATATTTAGCCTGCAGATGATGATGATGATATCTTTATATTGTCCTCAGTAAGAACTTGCAGCTGGGGGGTACTTCTGTGGGGAGAAGAGCTTCTCACTTCTCCCCTGCAGCTGCTCAGGAGGGAGACCCGGCAGCAGGGTCCAGTGGGGAAGTCAGGAGTGTGCCTGGGGGAGGGCAAAAACCGCTGCCCCCAGCGATGGGGTTTGGAGGGGTGTTCGATGCCTGAGGCTGGGGAGCAGGGATTGAAACGGGGAGGAAAGTTTCTTGTTCATGGTACCTCAGGTCTCTGCATCCTGCTTGTAGCAGCATCCTCCTGCCACCCCAGCTCAGCCCTGGTGTGTGCTGGACACATATTTTATGAATGTGTAAAATAAGCTGCATGCACAGAAGTGAGATGTTTACTGTAAACTGCGCAGGGTGGTAAACTGTTTTTTGGGGTCACTTAGTGTTGGGGGTAGGAAAGCTGAGTACTTCTCTTGGTAAATACCTTTATAAGTGACTTTTTAAGTACCTTTTTCATACCGAGATCTTGATTTGCTTTGCTATCGTCTCCCACATGGGTTGTATTATATCCTGTCTGACTTTTCCAAGGTCACCCAGTAAGCTGAGGGCAGAGAATCCAGATCTAGCTCTGATGAAAGCATTGGCCCAAGTAGTGTGGCCTGGCCCAAGCTATGGGCTTGTGTCTGCGGGATGTCACTTGTCAGCTGTCCCTCACAGCCCTTAAGGGACAGGCTGTGCCTGGGGCATGGTGGAGGTGGCTGCAGGTCCCCCGCTCCGTGTCTTTACCAGCATGTTACAGCTCTGTAAACTGGTCCCAAGCTCAGGAGTCTCAGCAGCAGTTTTGGGGCAGACCATGTGCCTGGAAGCCAAAGTGCAAATGCCTCAGAGTTTGCAAATTGCTTTTGAAAAAAACTGGTTTAATTTGTTCCAGAGATCCAAATTAGCAAATTATCTGACAGATTGAGTCTTGCAGGGGGAGTGGCCAGGGAGGAGGTTGGTAGGTTGGTAGTTTTTTTGTTTTGGTTTGTTTTTTTGGGTTTTTTTTGTGTGTGTTTTTTTGTTTGTTTGTTTTTTGTTTTTGTTGTTGTTGTTGGTTTTTTTAGTGGGTGGTTTTTATTTTTAAAGTAAGGGAAACTAAGTGACATTTCAGCTGTGGGACTGCAGAGCAGTTTGGGGTAAGAGTTATTTCTGCCCCAGGTTCAGTCCCCAATTAAACTCCTGCTCTGATCTGATCCTTCCCTTGAAGCCAGAGAGACCCAGAAGAAACCAAGCTCTCTGAGCACCTGAAAACAGATTCCTGGCCTGAGACTGAGGCAGGGACAGGATCTGAACAACCCTGGCAAAACCCCTACAGACCAGCTCTGGTGGTGCTGAGAAAATAGGACTGTGCCAAGGATGGGGAAGTGCTGGTTTATCGTGAGTTTCCCTAGTAGTTCCCATAGCATCACTCTCACATCCTCCCCCTGCAAAGGGCATCAGGGTCCTGCTGGCACTAATGGGTCTTAATTAGCCTGACACAGCCTCATCTGGGGCCTCCTCCCACACCCGCTCTCCCCCATTTGTTCCCCAGCTGCATTTAAGACCAGCTCCTTACTTAGATTGGTCTTTAATCTGTTTTACCACTGTCTTCTACTCTCCTGGGTTGATTTTGGGTCTGCATGGCTGCTCTGTGCTCATTAGTCACCAATAATGTGGGTGTAACACCAGGTGAGAAATCCCCCTTTTGGGACCAGGTTTAATGACTATTAGCTGGTACCAGGGATAACACTGCTTGGTGTGGAGATGGGAAATAGGGAACGAAGAGGCAGCTGGCACCAGAGCATGTACTGACAGCTCCCATCAGCTTGCAGGAATCCAGCAAGATGTGTCTTGTCCCTGCTCTTCACCCTGGTGGCAGATGTCCAGCTGGTGAGTGCTTGCAAATGGTTTGTGTGCAAGCTGGCCCTTGCCCTCCTGCTGCTGCCATGCTCCTGGGTCGCTGCCTGTAGCTTTCCCAGAGCCTGTGCTTTGTGCAGTATGTGGGGAGGTCGGTGCCAGGAAGGGCAGCTCTCCCCGAGGCAACGGGGATGGCTCCGGAGAGGAGTCGGAGAAAGATGTGCTTGGGTAAATTCATGCTGGAGGTGGCTTTGGAAGTGGCTCTGGCTCACAATGTGTGACACCCTGACCTGCCATGTTGCCCTGTGCTGTGGGTTTGTGGTGCCTGGGGAGTGGGGCAGGCTTGGGGACCGATGCTGGCACAGGGCTACCCAAACAGATGGAGACTTTGCTGGGAACCTGGCTGAGGTTGTTGAGGAAACCTGGAAGCTGCTGGTGTTTTTCTTCTATCTGTTTCGTGCATTTAGGAAGGTGAGGAGGGTGGTGTGTTCCCTGACAGGTTTTGAAGAAATGGAGTTACCTTATGATTAGCTGCATGAAAACTCTAGCCAGTAGATGAGGACAAAGCCCAGGGAGGGGTCAATGGGCTGCACTGCAGCGGGGGGTGAGAGTCTAACCCTGCTG